GTGTGTGTGTGTGTGTGTGTGTGTGTGTATAAGAGTGTGTGTGTCAGAGTGTGTGTGTGTGTGTGTGTTGGAATGCCAGCTATTCAGAATGCGGCCGCGGGCTGAGCCGAGCCGTGCCAGGGCAGGCTGGGAACACGCGCGCGCGCGCGCGCACACACACACACGCACACACACACACAGTCGGTTGTTCGTTTTCCAGATTCAGTGACACACAATAATAAAAGATTTGCGAAGTGAGCGGATTCAAACACAAACCAGACTCCGTTATAAAAAATGTCAACTTTAAAACTCGTTGCTTTTGAGCTTATTAATGACGTTATTTAACGTCTGTGTGAGATTAACTCTGGAAAAGGACAAGAACAACCGACACTGAGTAAAACTATTGTAGCCGAATGACAGATCGGCTCCTCCCGGTTCTAAAGAACCAGCTTCAGTCACTTCTCTCAGGTTTTAGGTCTGAAAACACCGCGACAACATTTCAAATCGTTTGATTTCAGAGCGGAGTCTGGTGCGAGGCGGAGACACGCGCCCTCCTTCCTGCAGCTCCGGAGGCTCGGGCGGTGAAAGGAGACCGTGTGATCCGGGTCACACTCACCTGAGCTCGGCAGGCTGCTCCGCGCTGCTCCGGAGTTCGACCCGCCCAGACAAAGTTGGAGAACCCGCCCGGTCCAGCGGAGACAGAAACCGAACGATCCGCAACGAGAGCCGCACAACAGGTCCGACACAGACCCCGCCCCGCTCCGCGCGGCGCCGGGGGGCTTCTCTGACGCTCCCTGGGAACAGAACCGACAACCCGCTGCAGCCGCTGCCTGGCTCAAGGGCTGCGACGTGTCAGCACGTATGAAGGAGCTAATTATCGATCCGTGATCAGTGGTTCCTAAGAAGTAACACGGTACTCCAAATACCAGGAGAATCAGAGTACTCCCAACAATCAGAGTACCCGAGTATTCAGACTGCTGCTTGTATTCATCATACTCGAACATCAGAGTACTTTGTGTTGTCAAAGTATCAGACAACTTTGTGTACTCAGAGCATCAGAGTATTCAAAGTACTCAGAGTAAACTAATTACTCAAGAGAAGAGAGTAACTTCTTCTGAGCTTTATTCTGAAAAGCATGACACAGGAACACGTTTGTTTTCATTTAATGTTCAAATTTATTTCATCTTCATCACATTCAACTCTTCCTCTTGTTTATCGATTCATTGGTTATTGATCAAGTGATTAATATGTGAATAATATAATATATATAAAATATTGATTCTATCAGTACAAACATTTAAAAATCACGTGACCTCTGACCTCAAATCATGTGACTGAATCTGAAGCTTACAAATAAAATTCACTAAACATGAACAAGACCAGATCTGACCAGACCACATCAGACCACTTGAACATCAGTTTCAGTCACATGAACAGTTGCTTGTTTCCATGGTAACAAGTAAAACAGCACAGTTCTTAAATCACAGTTAAAACTCAGGGGAGAGACCCCCCCTTCTCCTCCTCCCCCTCCTCCCCCTCTCTATCTCCCAGCAGGACACACAGCTCCATCAGTCTCTGCTGCATCTTAGGAATCCCAGAGAGCTGGTTCTCCAGGCGCTGCTTCTCCTCCTGCAGAGACCACAACCAGGTCAGAGACCAGAGGTTGGAGACCAGGGACCAGATGTTAGAGACCAGAGGTTAGAGAACAGAGGTTAGAGACCAGAGGTTGGAGACCAGGGACCAGATGTTAGAGAACAGAGGTTAAAGACCAGAGGTTGGAGACCAGGGACCAGATGTTAGAAAACAGAGGATAGAGACCAAAGGTTGGAGACCAGGGACCAGAGGTTAGAGACCAGAGGTTGGAGACCAGGGACCAGATGTTAGAGA